ATGGTAATTAGGGACCATATGTGAACAGCACAATTGCATATAATACTGTTATGTGTGTACTGGACGTTATCAATGACTGTGACTAGTCTGAATTTTAATGAAGCCAACAGTAAGGGAACTGTTCCCTTAGGGTTTTCAGAAGGCACTTTAACACAAATCATACTGTTATGGAAAAAATATATTGAATAAAGTCTATTAAACGGGGAACAAATAGTTTATTTTCTATCTTTTCATTCACATCTAAATAAAATTACACTAAATGTTTTTGCCCTTCTGAAGACATTGGTCTTCAGAAGGGCAAAAAAACAGTCTTACCAGGTTCAAGCTGGTAAGACTGTTATTGGGTTATTTTGAGTTTTATCGCAATATTTCTTGGTTCTACTGTGTTAACCACAAAAATTATAATAAAAAAACATTTCTTTTTTAGGTAGCTTTATGGCTGAGACTTCATGACAGAGCCTTTAGAGCCACAAACAGAAATATCACTAATGAAAAACGTTTCTATTTGACATAGGTTTCTTCAGGACGCCATTAACGAAACAAAAATAGTGTCATTTATATCGCTGAGCTGCACATAGCAACTGCATTTAACCATATTTTCAATTTTGCTATTTATTGGTGATCTCATGGAAAATACAGTGGTGAAAATAGGGGAGTAATTTACAAAATACTAAATGTAGCAGACCCCCGCCTCAAATGAAGGATTCTGGCTTTACTGGTGAACAGTGAGGTTTATTGGAAGTAAACCAGGAGTTTCATCGTAAGAGCTACACAAACACAAAAGGACAGTGTAAGCTACAGAACACGCTCTTACAGCCGTGATGTATCAACTAAACATAACGTTCACGACTAAAATATCGACTCTTATTCAAAAACCAAATCAGTATTCCTATACAATAAAGCAAATTTACAATTCCAAGCAATCAATAAAATAAATATCCTTGTTTACAAAATAAACATACCTGGTGCCTCCATCACAAAAGCCGCTAATAAGATAAATTTTACTAACTCTGTGCAACATGACTTCCGTTTTGTTGTTAAGCTGCTGTTCTATATTATAAACAAAGGCAGCTGTCTTATCAAAATAAAAGCATCAAGTTAAAAGCCGAAAGTCAATCATGTATTATACAAAATAAAATGACGGAAATGCAATTAGTGCAAAAAGGTACGGTAAGGTAAAGTAATTTTATTTATATTGCATATTTTCAGGAACAAGGCAATTCAAAGTTGAAGGATCAACAACACATTAAAGAAGTCACCAACCAAGTATCGAAATTGAGAGAACTGTATCTCAGTGAGAGGATGAAACATGAGAATTTTAAGGAATCTGTGAAGAACAAAGTGGCTAAGGTAGAAGATTATATTGTTTTGGAAGGGCCTAAAGTTCAAAGCAAATTTGAGACACAAACCACCAAGAAAACACTTGAACTTCTACCATCCACCACTGACAAAATAACCCTGCAGACACCCAAAACACAGTCAATTAGCAATCGAAGAATTTTTATTCTTGGTGAAGGCAAGATACAGCCAGACTTTAAAGACGACTTCACAACACCCGGACAGATAAAGTATAAGCCAGAACCAAAAACGAAGCCTAAAATGCCACCTTTTAAACCAGCAGGCAGGCAGTATTTCTCACAGAAACCGAGCGGGAAAACAGGCAACAGGCAACCTGGCAGGAAAGCCACTACAGATGGGAACAGTAAAGTTCCCGAATTATCAATTAAAGGCAACAGTATATTATCAGGTGTGAGTATAACCTCCAAGAGGCATATACACCTGGTGGCCGGGCGGCTTTAACCCTTGGAGCCCAGCTGGGCTTTTAATTCAGCATATCACGAAAATTTAACATCTTACATTCATGGAGAGACAATCTGCCCTCTCCATACAAGAGAAAACTGGAGTTTTCTCCATACAAGAAAATTACCACCTGCCAAGTCAATTGTTAAGCT